ACAACGTGGTTGAACTTGCCACTGCTAGCTGCACTTTATATACAACGAATCTTGAGAAGCTCTCACGCCACTCAGAGAAGAGGATTATCATGAAGACTTCGTTTCTGTGTCTCACTCCCGTTGCTGTGGTCGCTGACTTCGGTAGACCAGCGAATTCTCTACGGTAACAGAAGCCTAACCATCAAAGGGCAAGTTAGGGATTTCGGGAGGCTTGTGGTGGATCAGGAAAAGCTGGAAATTCGAAGTTAATCACAAGTTAATTTCATGTAATAAGAATGTAACAAATTTGAATACACAAATGTATGTGAATATGTGTAGTAAATGTGTGTGTGTTTGTACATATGTATTATCCGAAAATAAGATTTCATATTTAATTTACAACACTTTCTATAGTACACTTTTCTAATAGTACGGTATACTGGCACGTGGTACGAAATTACTCTCACAAACAACCGCTACCAACTGATCAAGCTGTGTGTCCGTAAGATATAACTTTGGTAGTTTTTTTTTCTCGGTTACAGACCTTTCAGAAATTATTATAGACGCATTTATATAGATTTTCATTGTGTATTAGCCAAATATAGATATGAAAATATATCCACAGATGGAACCAAGTTCAACTTCAAGATCACGGGTACTGATCCTAATGGGAATCCAATTACATATAAAAGATTCCTTTCTGAGAAACTCTCCGTACAACTTTGTGCTACAACTTTCCGCGTATTCACAAGGAAATTTAGTAAATGACAGTTCATACGTACAATCTATTTGATTAACGGTCCAATTTCCCTCTTTCAGCCTGGATTGCTGCCTACGTGATTCTGGATACTGACTACGAGAACGTCTCGTGCATCTATAGCTGCTCGAGATACAACTTGTAAAAATCAAGTAATAACGAAGTATATTTGTGTATATGTGTGTGTGCCTGTTGTGTGTGTGTGTGTGTGTGTTTGTACATATGTATTATCCGAAAATAAGATTTCATATTTAATTTACAACACTTTCTATAGTACACTTTTCTAGAAGTACAGTATACTGGCACGTGGTACGAAATTACTCTCACAAACAACCGCTGCCAACTGATCAAGCAGTGTGTCCGTAAGATATACCTTTGATAGTTTTTTTCTCGGTTACAGACCTTTCAGATATTATTATAGACGCATTTATATAGATTTTCATTGTGTATTAGCCAAATATAGATATGAAAATATATCCACAGATGGAACCAAGTTCAACTTCAAGATCACGGGTACTGATCCTAATGGGAATCCAATTACATATAAAAGACTCCTTTCTGAGAAACTCTCCGTACAACTTTGTGCTACAACTTTACGCGTATTCACAAGGAAATTTTGTAAGTGACAATTCATACGTACAATCTATTTGATTAACGGTCCAATTTCCCTCTTTTAACCTGGATTGCTGCCTACGTGATTCTGGATACTGACTACGAGAACGTCTCGTGCATCTATAGCTGCTCGAGATACAACTTGTAAAAATCAAGTAATAACGAAGTATATTTGTGTATATGTGTGTGTGTGTGTGTTTGTACATATGTATTATCCGAAAATAAGATTTCATATTTAATTTACAACACTTTCTATAGTACACTTTTCTAGAAGTACAGTATACTGGCACGTGGTACGAAATTACTCTCACAAACAACCGCTGCCAACTGATCAAGCAGTGTGTCCGTAAGATATACCTTTGATAGTTTTTTTCTCGGTTACAGACCTTTCAGATATTATTATAGACGCATTTATATAGATTTTCATTGTGTATTAGCCAAATATAGATATGAAAATATATCCACAGATGGAACCAAGTTCAACTTCAAGATCACGGGTACTGATCCTAATGGGAATCCAATTACATATAAAAGACTCCTTTCTGAGAAACTCTCCGTACAACTTTGTGCTACAACTTTACGCGTATTCACAAGGAAATTTTGTAAGTGACAATTCATACGTACAATCTATTTGATTAACGGTCCAATTTCCCTCTTTAACCTGGATTGCTGCCTACGTGATTCTGGGTACTGACTACGAGAACGTCTCGTGCATCTATAGCTGCTCGAGATACAACTTGTAAAAATCAAGTAATAACGAAGTATATTTGTGTATATGTGTGTGTGTGTGTTGTGTGTGTGTGTGTGGTGTGTGTGTGTGTGTTTGTACATATGTATTATCCGAAAATAAGATTTCATATTTAATTTACAACACTTTCTATAGTACACTTTTCTAGAAGTACAGTATACTGGCACGTGGTACGAAATTACTCTCACAAACAACCGCTGCCAACTGATCAAGCAGTGTGTCCGTAAGATATACCTTTGATAGTTTTTTTTCTCGGTTACAGACCTTTCAGATATTATTATAGACGCATTTATATAGATTTTCATTGTGTATTAGCCAAATATAGATATGAAAATATATCCACAGATGGAACCAAGTTCAACTTCAAGATCACGGGTACTGATCCTAATGGGAATCCAATTACATATAAAAGACTCCTTTCTGAGAAACTCTCCGTACAACTTTGTGCTACAACTTTACGCGTATTCACAAGGAAATTTTGTAAGTGACAATTCATACGTACAATCTATTTGATTAACGGTCCAATTTCCCTCTTTTAACCTGGATTGCTGCCTACGTGATTCTGGGTACTGACTACGAGAACGTCTCGTGCATCTATAGCTGCTCGAGATACAACTTGTAAAAATCAAGTAATAACGAAGTATATTTGTGTATATGTGTGTGTGCCTGTACAATGTGTATGTGAACGTGTTATAATATAACTAATATACACGTAGGGTAGGAATATCCAATATTTCATATCATATTTCATAGGCACTTTCGGTTCGTTAAGGCTAGAACTGTACGTGGATGTTTGTTATGTATATATATATATATGTGTGTGTGTGTGTGTGTGTGTGTGTGTGTGTGTGTGTGTGTGTGTGTGTGTGTGTGTGTGTGTGTGTGTGAGTGTGTGTGTGTGTGTGTGTGTGTGTGTTTACATATAAATATGGACACACATATATATCTATGTGTGGTATCCTGCATACGAGCTAAGCACAAATATAAACACACCTAGAACAGCGCGTCTTTCCTCACCCATGCTGCATGTTTTGAAATTCCTCGGCTCTCTATCTATTAACTTTCCCCCCGTTTTTCTGCTCCTCTCTTCTAGGGTCCCGCTTCCACCTTCTATGCAAATATTTCACGCCTGGAAGAAAAACTGTGAGCGTTTTGAGGAAATTATAATGCTCTACGTAATTTACCTCGAGGGTATGATGATATTAAATTTGAAGCGACGAGAAAAGTATTTACAAGAGGATTAGAAAATTCTCGATAAATAATGTTCATTAATTTTCTTTCTGCAATGAGTATCTCTGCCATTTCTTATTCATTAATTGTTTATTTTGTACAGTAATGATCAGTCACACACACACACACACACACACACACACATATACATACATACATTTCTTTTCTTTTCTTTATTTCTTATTCTTTGTTGGTGATGGTGACGGGAGTTGCAGGTGCCTATATGAAAACCATGTTCTGTGGGGAATTGAAAACTTTCGTCTGCAGGCTGTACGTGCAACGCCAAAGAAACGGTATCTTCGGTCACCAAAATATTTTACATGCATTCATCTACAGGCCCCTTGCACATGCACATTATGATCCTAAAAATGATATCCGAAAAATCTCGGTGGGTACGGGGTATGTGCACATCCTTATGTATATATTTATCTATATTTACTCTGCATGTATACATATGTATATATTATTTACATATATCAATATAAAAAACCATCCACAGTTTTTAATACGAATATATGTTATGGTAAAGTTTCTATTCTCATGGGGAAAATGAATGCTCTAAGTCACATTTGTATCTTATTATTGTAGAAATCATCAGTATGTCTATGCCCTGTAAGAACATTCAGATGAATGAGGAACTACATTGAAAGACGAGAAGTCGACGCCGTTCCTGCGGAAGACGGAGGCACACCTGTCAATCGCTGAACCGGCATTCTGTGGAGTACGGGAGAACACGAAGCCGAACTCAGACTTGTACTTGTCTGTGTCAATGCAGGAATACACGCAGGCATAGCTGTCGTAGTCAGTCTCGATCACTTCATAGGGAGCGGCGAAAGCTGTTGGGGGAAAGGGGAAAATATATAGTTATATAATATATAATATGTAGATTCTACTACATTTAAGAAGGTATAACTTTAATGAACACATGAAAGAATCTTGTATCCATACCCGTAGGGAAATCAATGAGCATGTGGGCTTTGGGGAAGTCCGTTGTGGGGTAGATCTTGCCCTGCAGTCTGCGGTACTCGTTGCTGGGGGTTAATCCAGCTGTGGTCACCCTAAAGCCATTGTCAGTGTAGTCGTAGTTGGAGTGGATGCAGCGAGTGTATGGTTGGTAGGGGTTGTCGATGATCTTGACCTGATACCAGCGACCAGCATACTGTTGGGGAACAAATGTTACTGAGACACTTCCCACAAACGCGTAGTAATCAATTTTGTAAGTGAAAATACCATGAATAGGCATTACATTATTAGGCAACTTACTCTACGAAGGTCGAAGTTGTCTTGATTTGCCACTCTGGCACAATTTCCAGGAGCTACGAAATCTGGAATGCCGTCGGCTGCGACAAGAGCCACGAGGGCAGCAGCTACGAGTACCTTCAACATGGTGCCTTGCCGTAAGTGATTCCTGGTGGTGAGTCGGGCTCCTTATATCTCATGCCACACGTAAATCTGCGAAAGAGGCGGAGCATCGAATTTCTAGAATATCATCGTTTGAATTCGTCTTTTTTTTCTCTCTCTCAGATGTACACCTATTAAGATACTGGAGTTTACAACTAATCTTGTTTTCTATATGATCGACATGAATATAATTTTGGAACGTGATTTTCCTCTGCGGGATACACCCTCTATATAAAGACGCCCGAGAGGCTCTCACGCCACTCAGACCGCAGGATCAACATGAAGACTTCGTTGCTGTGTCTCGTTCTCGTTGCAGCGGTCGCTGCCGACAAGATCCCTGACTTTGTCGTGCCAGGAAAATGCCCTGCGGTAGACGAGAGAATGCTCTACAATCAACAGAGGCCTAACCATCAGAAGGCAAGTTAATTTACACGTAAAAATTGTGTAAGGTATTTTGTGATTACACATGTATATATACATATATATATGCGTATGTTTGTGTAGGTCTAATTATAATCCCACTTGTATATATATGTATTATATTTAAACATTTGTGTGCATAATATATATACACACAAATATAAATTGATTGATAGATATAAAGCGAAATATATATTCATATTTAATTTGCAACATTTTCAACATTTTCTATTGTCCAAACTTCCTAAATTACAGTATGCTGGCACATGGTACGAAATTGCACTCACAAACAACCCATACCAACTTATCAAAAGTTGTGTCCGCAACGAATACACCTATGGTAAGTTTGTTTGTTTTTTCGTTTAAGACTTTTCTTGTCGGTTACAGACTTCTCTTAGAAAATGTTATCGTGCATAAAGATAATATATAAGAAAAAATATATTCACAGATGGAAGCAAGTTCAACGTCAGATCAACTGGTACTGATGCTATTGGAAACACGATTACACGTAATGGTCAGGTTCTGCCCAATCCTTTCGGAGAACCTCATCTTTCCGTGGACTACGAGGCATGTAAGTATTCACAAGAATAATATGTATGTAATTAGACATGGTATATGTAAGTTATTATTACAAGGAAATATATATGATTAATGGTACATTTTCTGTTTCCAGCCTGGATGGCTCCCTACGTGATTCTGGACACTGACTACGAGAACTTCGCGTGCATCTATAGCTGCGCCGGCCACAACTTCGGCTATTACGCCGACTTCGCCTTCATCTTCTCCCGCTCACCAAGTCTCGCTGACAGATATTACAGGCGTTGTGAAGCTGCCTTCATGAACATCGGTGTTGACCCCTCTCGCTTCACGAAGACAGCTCAGGGTGGATCCTGCTCCTACAACACCAACTATAGGTCTTGGTAGAAAATAATCAAGGTACAGATCCTTTATATGGATACTTGTTACGAAATAAAGATTGTGCTACTCTTATTCTCTATTTACTCAAGCCAAATTCCCCAGTAGTGATGAAGGGTATTGTCAGCCCTGATTAAATCTGGATTTGTGTAAAGCATTTTGAAGTCTACCAGAGGTAGAAAAGGGAAGACGCCATAGATAAGATAGATCTTTCGTACGCTTTCAGGAGGAAAAACTTGCCTTTCTCTCTTTGAACTAGAGACCACAGCTTTCTTTAATATATTCAATATTGAAACGCATCTGAAGCATCTGAAAGTATCTTCTTCACACACAATGTATGTCTACGAATGACTACACACGCGTGCACGTGCACGCACACACATATACAAACACTGCCATAATAGAAACAATAAAACCGTTACACTGAGAACTCTTGAATTCGACACATCGGTGTTTCAGTTTATATATACACAGACAATAACGAAAAAGAAAGAGAGAGGGAGAGGAAGGGAAAAGAATACTACTTCAGAAATCTCGGTCTAATCATTTTCGTAAAGAAACATTTAGGGGGGGGGGGGGGATTAATATGCCGATTATGGTTTTATTTAATTTGCGTGCCCGTGTGTGCGATATGTCTTATCCTGTCTGTCGCTCCATCAATCTATTTGTCTATTTATCCTTCTGTATATCTATGTATATTTGAACATGAAAAGAAATTCAAGTACATGCAATGGCACAATAAAGCGAAAAGCGAACTTAGACGTAAAGGGAACGCAATTACATGTAAGAGTCAGATTCTACCGAATCCTTTCTGAGAACTGATAAAGTGGATTGTCAAAATCAAGTAATAACTGTATACATCTCTCCCCCTCTCTCTCTATATATAGTGTGTATGTGAATGTATGTAAATCTAAGATATAAGTGGGGCCGGAATATTTAGTTAAGATACCAAACATCTTATTATATCTCATAGGCACTTTCATTTAGTTAAAACTAGATGTATATATGGATGTTTGATGAGTGTGTATATATAAATATATATATATACTATATATTGTGTGTTTATATGTGTATGTGGCTACGTGTACGTGTAGTGTGTTGTATCCTGCATACCTTTCTTCATTCACGCTGCCATAATTCTATTTAGACCTGCATGTTTTTATTACTATAACTTTACAGCAGTAGTTAGAGACCCTCACATATAAAAATTTTCGGTTTTCTATATGTAATTTTACCCTGCTTTCTGCTTCTTTCTTCTAGAGACATCCACTTTCCACACAATTATCTCACACCTGGAATTTATATAAAGACAAACTGTTGGCATTTTGAAGAAATTATAGTGTCTATTTGCTCTACGTAATTTACCTCGAAAGTATAATGTTAATACTACGAGAAAAGTATTAGCAGGAAGAAAAGAACATTTTCGACATTTAATATTTATTGTGTCTTTGTAATGAGTATATCATTTCTTATTCGTTTATTTGTTTATACAGAATTGATCAATTCATCATACACACACACATACTTATATCTATATAGATATTTATTTATTCTATTTTCTTTATTATATTTTATCATATATATATTTTTTGTCGTGGTGGTGCCTTGGGTTGCAGAGGATGTTCTCTTGAATATTCTGTGGGTGCCGAAATGGAGACCATAATCTGTGGGGAATTCAAAACTTTCGTCTGCAGGCTGTACGTGCAACGCCAAAGAAAAAGGGATCTTCGGACACCAAAATATGTTACATGCATTCATCTATAAGCCTACATGTCCCTTGCCGGTGCACGTTATGATCCCATAAACGATATCCAAAAAAAATCGCTGAGTTAATGAAATGATGCATTCATCTACAAGCCCCTTGCAGATGCAGATTATGATCCTATAAATGATATCCGAAAAATCTCGGTGGGTACGGGGGTTAAAGAAGTTATGAAGTTACAAATAAGCCTTATTAGCCTGATTGAACCTATCTATAATGGACTGATGATAGCAACAATTTTGGCTGCTCACCAAGTCAAGTCCATTGTCCCTCAGTAGCGTATATACTTCATACACACATATACGTGTGTATAAATGATATCCGAAAAATCTCGGTGGGTACGGGGGTTAAAGAAGTTATGAAGTTACAAATAAGCCTTATTAGCCTGATTGAACCTATCTATAATGGACTGATGATAGCAACAATTTTGGCTGCTCACCAAGTCAAGTCCATTGTCCCTCAGTAGTATATATACTATATACACACATATACGTGTGTGTGAGTATATATATTTTTGTGTAGAGAAACGTAAATATATATACATAATATATAAATATATGATATATACTTATACACTTATGTGTATGTTTGTGTGTCAATCTGTGTATGTGCATGTATCTGCATGTATATAAATCTATAATTGTATTCATGTGTATTTATCTATATTCATTCTATATATAAATATATATTAGCATATATGCACATGTATATAAACATATATGTTTGTACATTACATATATCAGTATCAATACCATCCAAACAATTTTTTTAATGTGCATAAATGGTATGATAAAGTTTCTATTCTTTTGGGGAATATTAATGCTCGAAGTCACATTTGTATCTTATTATTGTGCAAATCTTTGGTATATGTCTATGCCCTGTAAACACATTCGGCTGTATGAGGAACTACATTGAAAGAAGAGAAGTCGACGCCATTTCTGCGGAAGACGGAGGCACACCTGTCAATCGCTAGACCAGAATTCTGTGGAGTACGGGAGAACACGAAGCCGAACTCGGATTTGTACTTGTCTGTGTTAATGCAGGAATACACGCACGAATAGTTCTCGTAGTCAGTCTCGATCACTTCATAGGGAGCGGCGAAAGCTATTGGGGAAAAATGGAAAATGTATGGTTAGTACATATCTGTAGATTCTACTATATTCAAAAAGGTATTGATTTACTCTACACAAGAAAGTAGACGTACCAGAAGGGAAATCAATAAGCATGTGGGCAGCTGGGAAGTCCTTTGTGGGGTAGATCTTGCCCTGCAGTCTCAGGTACTCGTTGTTGGGGCTGAATCCAGCTGTGGTCACCTTAAAGCCGTAGTCAGAGTCAGAGTAGTCGTAGTTGGAGTGGATGCAACGAGTGTATGGTTGGTAGGGGTTGTCGATGATCTGGATCTGATACCAACGACCAGCATACTGTTGGAGAACAAATGTTACTGAGACACTTCCCACAATCGTGTAATGATCAATTTGCAAATGAGGGTACCATTAATAAACAATACATTGTAAAACAACTTACTCTGCGAAGGTCGAAGTTGTCTTGATTTGCCACTTTGGCACAGTTTCCAGGAGCTACGAAATCTGGAATGCCATCGGCTGCGACAAGAGCCACGAGGGCAGCAGCTACGAGTGCCTTCAACATGGTGCCTTGCCGTAAGTGATTCCTGGTGGCGAGTCGGGCTCCTTATATCTCATGCCACACGTAAATCTGCGAAAGAGGCGGAGCATCGAAATTCACGAGTGTCATCGTTAGATTTTTACCTATTTTTCTTTTCTTTTCTTTTTATTTATTTCTATACATATTTTTATATAGCCATGTTTATTAAGACACTTGAACTTACAACTAATATTATTTTCTATGTCATCGACGTGAATAACATTTTGGAACGTGACTTTCCTCTGTCGGATACACCCTCTATATAAAGACGCTCGAGAGGCTCTCACGCCACTCAGACCGCAGGATCATCATGAAGACTTCGTTGCTGTGTCTCGTTCTCGTTGCAGCGGTTGCTGCCGACAAGATCCCTAGCTTTGTCGTGCCAGGAAAATGCCCTGCAGTAGACGAGAGAATGCTCTACAATCAGCAGAGGCCTAATCATCAGAAGGCAAGTTAATTTACACGTAAAAATATGTAAGGTGATTTGTGGTTACACATGCATATATACATATATGTGTGTATACGTGTGTGGGCCTACATATAATACCACTTATATGTGTATATAGAACTTCATGGATAAATAGATATTAAGCAAAATGTATTTTCATATTCATTTTGCAACAATTTTTATAGACCAGATTACTTAAATTACAGTATGCTGGCACATGGTACGAAATTGCACTCACAAACAACCCATATCAACTGATCAAGAAGTGTGTCCGCAACGAATATACCTATGGTAAGTTTTTGTTTCATTTTCGTTTATGTAAGATTTTTTAAAACCGATTATAGACTTCTCTTAGAAAAAAATCATAGCTTATAAGCATAATAAGCATAATATGAGTAAAAATATATCCACAGATGGAAGCAAGTTCAACGTCAGATCTACTGGTACTGATGCTTTTGGGAACGCAATTACACGCAATGGTCAGGTTCTGCCCAATCCTTTCGGAGAACCTCATCTTTCCGTGGACTACGAAGCATGTAAGTATTCACAATACTGTTCTGTACGTAAGTAAACATGGAATAAGTATATGAATTATTCATACAAGGAAATATATTTGATACGGTACATCTTTCCTGTTTCCAGCCTGGATGGCTCCCTACGTGATTCTGGACACTGACTACGAGAACTTCGCGTGCATCTATAGCTGCGCCGGCCACAACTTCGGCTATTACACCGACTTCGCCTTCATCTTCTCCCGCTCACCAAGTCTCGCTGACAGATATTACAGGCGTTGTGAAGCCGCCTTCTTGAACATCGGTGTTGACCCCTCTCGCTTCACGAAGACAACTCAGGGTGGATCCTGCTCCTACAACACTAACTATAGGTCTTGGTAGAAAATTATTAAGGTACACATCCTTTATTTGGATATTTTGTCATGAAATAAAGATTGTACTACTCGTATTCTCTTATTCAAGTCAAATTCCGGAATGGTGATGAAGAGCATTGTTAGCCCTGATTAAATCTGGATTTGTGTAAAACATGTTGAAGTCTAACTGAGGTAGAAAAGGGAAGAAGCAATAGATATTTCGTATTTCACGTTCAGGAGGAAAGACTGCCGAAATGCCGATTGCTTGCTCTAGTGCATCTCAGTGAGGGGAAGGGATAATTTTATTCATGAAGATACAAATAATCTTTTTTAGCCAT